TTATTTAAATATTCTTTCCGCTGATTTACAAGAAAGATTTTCTGAATTAAAACAAACGCTAGGATGACACTAAGTTAATATGGAAGATATGTATTACAATTATATTGAATTTGAATTTCACTTTTTTGTTATATGTTTTCAAATATTATTTACTGCTTTTTGATAAAAATTTAATAGTTATGTCTTCCTAAAACCGATCATATATGTTTCTTAAGTGAAAAAAACAATTGTTTAATGTTAATGGGCATAAAAATTTTAGAAATGTTGCAGTTAGGCATGGCACAAAAAAGGTTGGGAAACATTGATCTAGACTATAAAACATATGCCACCGGTAAAGTTTCAAATGCGGCATTCTCTAGAATTTCTAGGTAATTATTATAATTTTCTATACTAAACTATTACTAGTCAAACCTGATTTCAGGGCAAAACTGGTTTGTCGTAGACCAAACGAGTCTATGAGAAATCACTGCAGGAGTGAACACTAAACGACTCGACTAAAAAGTTTTGCCTGTACCAAATACGTTTTGCTATGCAAAAGTTAAATACGACCGTTTTGGTTAAACTTTTTTTTTCTACATTGATTCTAAGTTTAGTTTAGTTTCTCATATTTTGTCTATTTCACGTTTTCCCTTATTTTATAGATTTTCTACAAAAATACTTAGGCATTCCATAAAATAAGTTTATTTTATATTGAATGCCCTACTATTATACTGTGTGGTTATAAACAACTATTACAGCCTAATACCTATTACAACCTACCAACCTACAAACTTTAAAATAACTACCAATGCTTAGTCCTAACCTGATAATTAATAACCGTAAATAATAGGATAAATATAATAAAACCGCAGCGCTAAAGATAGTGAACAGGAACAACACCTCTTACTTATCATATCATCAATTGCAACAAAAAGGTTACAACGCTTTTAACTACCCTGACGGAGCGAAGTACCAGCTAAGATCATTTTTTGATGTTTTAAAAGTAATTCACGGCATGGTAACAGGTGTGTTACAATGTAACCCTGCATGTCTCGTATGTTTGTTGCATCCAAATATCGTAACAAACGTACAAGCTTTCGATTCAATTGATGCGATACGTAAAAGTTTCCCGCGACGCAGATTTTCTCATTGATTTAGTTCAGTTCTCACACTAGCCTTCGGGAACGATTCTAAATCTGGTTCGGCAAAGCAGAACAAGGCCTTAATTTTAACCAACCTCTTATATGGCCTGGCATTTGCTTATCGTTATTTTATTGATCTAACCAAACAGATTTATCTACGGGTATCGATTGAAGCAAAAGGCAACCACTCTGAATGATCCCAATTGATGTGTTTATAGGCACTTGTGTTTTGAATCTATAAATAGATCGGGCGCGTTGATAGTTTAAGCAAATTTGCGACCGTTTTGTTTCAGTTTACGTGCACTTAATGCGGGGTCCTCAACGAAGATTACGTACTATTTCCCATAAAACTGAAGTACCTAGTCCAGCAGCAGATCTCTTCCTGCGCTGCCCTAAAAGTTACGAAAGTTTTTTTAGGAGCCAACTCGCAAGAGATAACTTTAAAATGTTGCCCATGTCAGAAAAATATTATATGCGTCGATCAGATGTTACTTCAAGTTCTCCAAAAGTAAGCTACGCAAATAAGACAATGCCACCCTTAATCCAAACGAACATGTCGATGTGCCTTTAAAAGCCGCATTTCACCGAATTCACCTGAAGGGTAAAAGTTTATCAATGACACTGAAATACTAAACACCTCAGCCACTAAAATAGACACCAAAATATCTAGGTGTGAGTGAAAAGAAATTCGCCAAGAAAACACAAAGTTTACTTGAAGGCTATTGTTAAATGGAATACGCGGAAACAAGAACATGACATGCAATAAATCTTGTTTGATACAAGAACAAATAGGGTTAAAATTAATCTGCAACAGTTTCACTGATGATGACGACATTTAAGTAGCATGTAAATTATTTTCATATTTATATTTTCTATTTGGCAACTCATGGGATTTTTATTAAATATATTAAAGTAGCAATCTATAAGTTAGTTTTAATTGTTCTTATGTCACTACCAAGTCGTTTTTGATTGGGTTTACAAATATGAATTTATTCATTAGTTATTAAAGAAGGTTAAAACATAAACAAATGTATTCAAAAGTATTTTTTATTTTTGCTTGGAATTTGAGATAGCTGCACAGGAAGGTTAGCTGTTCCCCTGCGTTTTTTGGCAATGTTAACAATGACAATAATAATTTATAATATTTATTTTCCCAAAGACAACAACAAAATTATATAGGAATAGTCAAAATACATAATAGGTAGAATTGATATATAAAAAAACAACAAAACAATTAGTCTGGATTACAAAATGTTTTGGATAACAAAAATATTTATAATCGTTTTTTAATTAGATTTTTTTGAAATAAGCAATGTTGACAATGACAATAATAATAATATTTATTTTCCCAAAGACAACAACAAAATTGTATAGGAATAGTCAAAATACATAATAGGTAGAATTGATATATAAAAAAACACCAACAAAATTAGTGTAGATTACAAAATGTTTTGGATAACAAACATATTTTGAATCGTTTTTTAAATAGACAAGCCTCTAAACTTCTGTCTCATAACTCCAAGGACAGAGTGTTAAAAATTCAAACACCCAAATAATCAGGTGACTTCGAAGTCGTCGACAGCCAACAGTAGAGGAGAACATGCAGTTTACCGCTCTGTCTTGTATGCTTAGAATGTACGCCACCAACTAACATAAAATTGGATAAATTATTAATGACATTTCAAAAAATGAAAAGACTCGCCAGTGTGAGAATTCTGCACTGGGCAAATAAACCCCTACCAGATGTAAACTTGTAAATTTGTGTAATACTAGTTAATATAAGTTTTTGAGCTAAAAACACTTTATCGGCATTTACAGATGTAGATGGTGTAAATTGAGCAACCGTTTTCTCGTAAAAATCTCACGAAGATTTAAAAAAATATACTTTAAAATACTTAGAGTTGAAAAAAAAGTATCACAATGAGACTTCCAGTTTAAACATTCATCCAAACTCAATCCCAGAAACCTCACAGTATCCCCACTTGCGGTAGTGTCATTGCCTAAACAGCTAATAAAATTATCACATTGTTTCTGATAGTTATAAAACTTAATAATTTGAGTTTTGCTTGCCATCAATCCATCGAGTACCCTACAGCACTTCTCTGAGAGGTCGTCATTTACACACGACAATACCAAGGAAAGATCATCCGCGTATATCCCAAAAAAAGTATCAGTTAAAATTTTCAATATACAATTTACATATAATATGAATAGTACAGGGTCTAAAACTGAACCTTGAAGAACACCGATCTCTATGCGTTGACTAGCCATTCTCTTATCGTTATAAAACTTAAGAGATACAAAATGAGAACGATCTTCTAAAAACTACTGAGTCAGTCTAGAAGCTTACTCCTTATACCCGAAGCGCTTCACCAAGAATGTTAACGGAACCATTATCAAACCCAATACTCTTTTTAATAAAAACGTTGGTATGCCATCGGATCCAAAAGACTTTTTGTTTTTTAATTTATTTTTTTAAACTATGCAAGAGCTCCTCCTCCTTAATAAAATTCAGACCAATATTTTTGGGAGCATATATAAAATAGTTATTAAATTAAACTCCGGTCCAAGCAGCACTATAAGGATCGACAGAATCCGAAATTTGTCGCTGATAGAAAGCTTTTATAGTCTCAGAACACACAGATTTTTTAAATTAGTACTAGACGTCTTAATTTTATTATTAATCCATTTTTTATTTTTGGCTGACGCACTAACATATAACCTCCCGAGAAATGTAAACAAAAATAGTAGATAAAAACATCATAAAAACCAATCCTCCAGACGAAGCGTTTGCTCAAAATTCTGAATTTTGGAGTCACTGTTTCAACGAATTCGAGATGTTGAACAGACATTGGACTTGGTGATGGCATTACGAAATACTTCAAGTTCTATAAAAGCTGTTCTGTGTTCAGACGCATAATTGTCAAAATCACATCAATCATCCCAGTAGGTTCACTAGAAAGTAGTCTCTATTTGCCTTTAGCAAGTATCTCCTCTATTTTGTTGGCGTAGCCCTTATCCGCTGAGAGAATCCTGATGTTCACTATTCGTCGTCCTTCTTCTCTTCTCCAAAACAAAAAACTTTCCATCGCAGTGCATCTCTTTCCGGTCCTTCCAGTTGTAACATTTCAATGGAACTTATGATATCTAACACTGGCGTCTTTCAAATAGCGAGGGAGAAGAAGTAAAGTCCTTTGCTCAATATTTGTATTTCAGTATTGGAAAGATTCCTTCAGGACATATTTATTATTGTACGTTGAATGTCATTTAAAAGAACCTATTCCATATCATTGTATGTTTCCTATGTTCTTCAACTATAAAATTTAAAGGTCGTTTTGACTGAGCGGTTGAACCCTCGTAGGCCATTTTACAAGGGAAACAAAATCATAGCAGGACATTAGAGAACACAATTTTTTAAAACAGAAGTTTTTGAATAGATGGAAATTAAAATCACCATCTATTAAAATATTATTTTTAAGCTTCCACAAACATATAACAAGTTTTTCGATGCTTTCCAAAAAAAAAGCCGTTCATTACCATAACATACCATGATTAAAAATCTGTTCCCATCTACAGGAACCTACGCACTCTCTGAAAATATTGGTCGAGCATTGATGCATTGTTTGACCCATAAACCAACACCACCCTAGTTAGTCGAGGCTCTATAATACGAATTAAGCCATCAAACGCACCGGTCTGCCTTATAGCGATTGAGGCTTCGGCTGATATTTCTGTATAACTGATTATCTAAAATATGAGGCAAACTACAGGCCTAAGAAAACAAGTTAAAAATGTAAAACTTGCTGCGAATACTGTCCTGAAGATACTCATATCGAAAAAAAAATGTCAACACACCAGATTCTAGGCACTATAATAAGAAAGGGGTGGGCATATTAGGCTTTTTAGGGCCAGAAGATGGAACAAAACGTCTTTGAAAGGAAAAATGCTGTGCAACAACAAGAATATGGATTATTAAAAACGAATTTATTTAAATGAACAACAGTATTGTGGCTCAAACACGCGCTATGTACAAAAATTGCGGACCACCCAACCCCCTTGCTTCCTACTTAATGGCGAGCACCGGAGCTGCCGGAGCTGCAACGGGAGCCACCGGCGCTACACCCGCAGGCAAAGCGTAAGGCAACGCGCTGTAAGCTGCGAACTGCGGAGCCAAAACCGGACCGGCTGCGTATCTAGCAAAAGGAGCGTATTGAGCGTATTCAGCGACGAATGGAGCGGCCACTCTGGCGGCGATCGGCTCAGCTACGATCGGAGCGGACTTAGCGATGAGTGGAGCCGCCGGAGCGACCAGAGGAGCAGCGATTCTAGCGGGAGCGACAGCGACCGGGGCAGCAATGGCGTGGTTGACGACATTTGCGCTGTAGGAGGAAGCGTAGGGAACAGAGTACGCCGCAGGGATAGCTGCGGGGACTGCTACAGAAGGGCCTCCCAAGCAGCTCGAGATGGCGATGGTTGCGAAGAAAGCGACGAGCTGAAATAAAATCAAAACCGTGTAAGTAACTATACATAAACATTTGATAGATGGCAAAAACATAGAACGAAAATATATTAACACTCACCAAAGCGTTTGAAGCCATTTTTCTCGGTTGTTTTGCTACTCGACTGACAAATCGACTACGAATACAAAGACGAACGCGACGGTTTATATACTCGGAAAAGCGGACGACCGAAAAGAATATAGAAATAGCCATAGTTGAAATATTCGACGGTGGTGAAAGAGGTCAGAATTGTCGAAATTTGATTGCGCGCAATTCGGACTGAATAGCAATTAGAATTGGAGGCTTATTTGTATGCCGTGCGATGAGGCCGAAGGTGTGAAATTAAAAAAGAAAACTGATCCGAGCCGAATTTGTCGATTTCTTTATTTGTCATACGAAGTGAGTATTTTCATGAAATCATCAGAAGAATCCTCGTTTGAAGCTAGTTAATTACAAATTATGCCTAACAGATCTATTATAATTCTAATTCACTTTTGAACAGATAAGAGAAAAGGATGGGAAGACTATAAATACCATGGAAACTAGCTATTGAGCAGAAAAAAGTATTTTAAGAGGGGTTTTAAAATTAATGTTATTATTTTTGATAATATATGGAGACCTAGCTACTAGTTGATTGAGTTGAAAGCATTCTGTAATCTAATCATAGAAGAATGCTGTCCTACATTACTTTACAATTTTATATAACATGTTCGCTTCATTTTTAAGTGAATTATTTCAAATTTAGATCTAGCAAGACTGTGGTCATGATTTACAAGGATTTAAAACAAGGTATTTGAGCAAAACGCGTCAAAGAAGCATATGAGAGTTTTGGGATTTAAATAGTCCTTTGCGTTCCTTTTTATAAGGACAACTAAAATTAATAAATTCCTAATTAATGTTACACCAAACTTGTTAATAGAATTAGAACATATACGGGGTTAGCGCCAAAATTTCGCTGCCTAACATAGATGCAGCTCCAGTATCACGATAAAACTTTATCTTCTTTTAAATATATGTCTTAGTAGGCTGCCAAAAAAAATGAATGAAATGAAGTCTTGCGTCAAATAGTTTTTTATTGACAGCATTTTAAACAAGACTTGTCCGAAAAAATGTCGCAAATAACGCAAATTGAGTATAGAGCAGTCATAAAGTTTTGAACAAAAGAAGGGTTAGCACCTTAAATTATTAAAGAAAGGCTGGATGGTGTGTACGGCCTTCAGATTCTGTAGTGAAAGAATGGGAAAAACGTTTTCGAATGGGGCAGGAGTCCATTGAAGATGATTCAAGAACTGTTCGACCAGTGGAGGTCATAAAAGAAGATATTGTTGCGATTGTGGAAGAGGTGGTATTGAGTGATCGACGTTTAAAGGTCAAGGAAATCTCAGAAATTACTAAGCTTTCTGAAACAAGTGTTCGTCGAATCCTGCATGATAATTTAGGTATGCATAAGGTTAGTGCAAGATGGGTTGCGCGTTCTTTTTTGGAACCCTGTGGGTCGGAACCGAAGCCTGTGATAGAAACTGTTGTGACGGGAGATAAAACTATGGATCTCTATTATGACCCTCTATCGAAAAAAGAATCAATGGAGTGGCGTCGTAAGGGTGAAGCACCTCCAAAAAAATTCAGAGTCTGCCAGTCAACAAAAAAGGTGACCGCCACTATCTTTTGGGATTGTGAAGGAATTCTTTTGATAGATTTAAAAAAAAATTAATACCACTGTCAATGGTAAATATTACGCAATATTATTACATAAATTGCGACACTGCATACATGTAAAACGTCGAGGAAAACTGACCAGCGGCGTGCGTCTTTTGCACGATAATGAACCTGTCCATACTGTTGGTGTACACAAGCTGCCATTTTAGATCGACTTCCCTATAGTCCAGATATGGCCCGCAGCGACTATTATTTGTTTGGATATTTGAAAAAGGACTTACGTGGACGGCGGTTTAACGACGAAGTTGAGTTAAAAGAGGCCGTTTTAGCTCATTTTGCAGACAAACCAAGAGAATATTTTTTTAAAGGGATTGAGTTGTTAATAAAGAGATGTAATAAATGTATTGAAGTTAAGGGGAATTATATTGAAAAATAATAAAAAATTGTCACTCTACTTTGTTTCTTTCATATTCAGGCCGGGAAATTTTGGCGCTGCCCCCGTACCTTTTAGTTCGAACCTTGCATTTAATCAAACCGCCATAGTTGCACATGCTGTGGATGAAAAACAAATTTGGGATAGAGCTAAAAAATTAAAGAATAAGTTTAGTTATATATATGCCTACTAGTCTGATAAAGTTTGTGTTGCCAGTGATTCTTAAACCATTGGTAATTGTGATAAACAACTCGCTAAGCTTTGGAATATTACCAGATCAACTTAAACATGACCCGGTTATCTCCAACTTTAAAAAAGATTATCAGAACGACATGCAACATTATCGCCCAATAAGTCTGCTCTAAAATTTTCGAAAAACTAATGCGTCGTCGAATTTTAAACTTTATGGTCGACAATAACTTACAAAATAATAAACAGCAGGCAGGCAGAACAACTCAAACAGCAGGATTTACCTGCGTACAACATATACTTGATGTTTTAAAAGTGGTGAAATCCCATTAGTGGTGTTCCTTGATTTATCAAAAGCGTATGATACTGAAGCCATAGCATTCTTTTGAATATATTACATATGTAAGGGGAGTGGCTCTAAGGTGGGTGGAATCTTACCTCTCAAAAAGAAAGCAGCAAGTTATAATGGGCAAGGGTGAAAATCGGACAGCAAAAAGATTGCAGTAGGTATACCGCAGGGCAGTGTAATAGGTCCAATATTATTTCTTTTGTATCTTAACAACATAACAGAATTGTATGCAATTGGTCAAAATTGTAAAATCACTAACTACGCCGATGATACCAATGTTCCAATTGTAAATGAGAATACCGCAAACCTCAAAAAAGATGCCGAGAGATCCATGATGGGAGGGGTTTACTAAAAATAAATTAGTTATTAATAATGTTAAGACTGCTGTAACAATGTCTAGAACAAATCGATCAAGAATAGTACCACCACAGAAGTTAAATTTAAACAACTGTGATGTTGTTTTAAGCGATTGCACAACGTTTTTGGGTATGTCTTTGGATATCACCTTATCATGGGAAAATCATGTAAATAATGTAGGAGATAAGTTAAATAAAGTAATATATATATAATATAGTCTTCGAGTATTAATTTTAACTTTAGCTGCAACCTTCATACAAGAGAGTATACTGCTCGTCTTTACAAACAGAACCTTTTTGAAGTATATGGGGCAAGAACCATGAATTACACATATTCCAGGCACAGACTGACTATGATTGAGAAAGGTGCGTATTATTAGTGTATTCGGTAGTTTGCCGAACAACATACAAACGATTAGAGATTTAAAAATGTTAAAGAAAACAATTTTTAATTAACACGTACAAATAGAACCATATAGTGTACAAGAATACCATAGGTTTATTCAAAACATGTAGAGCAACCACCGTAAATGACACTATTTCAATTACGCTTTGAAATAAGGATGATTTATTATTATTATTATTATTATTAATTTATTACTCAATTTATTAGCTAAGGACAGTGTTTAAAAGATGTTTTTTTTATCGAGAATGATTTCCAAGTCCCCCATCTTACTGTTTTTTACATACGAAATATCAAAATATTTCGATGAGTTAACCCTTTATTCGAGGAATACGCCGATGTAAGATAATTTTAGTGGTGAGAAGAAAGTGGAATCCAAAGGCGTGACAAGAGAGGTTAGAATTAGAAGAAAATTCTTTAATAAACATGTAAGTAGAACAAAAGACGACATATTGTCCGAAATGGCAAAGAATGCACCAGTCCGAAGAAGCTGCAGACAGAAACCGGTAGAAAGGTAGAAAAAATCGTGAATCGTGATATTCAGGCGATAGCCTACCATATGGGAAACCGTATTGAAAAAAGAAGAAGAGTTATACTGAAAATTGCCAAGATTTTTTTTAATGCAATTGTGAATTGTATTCTTCTGTCACCGTATTTGAAATTGCACATTCTTCGTTCTTATCACATATTCTGTGCGACGTAACAATTGCGACAATTAGTAAATATAAATTAATATCTGGGATAAACAGTGAATGGCATTTTCAAACAAAATTTAGGAAAAGAACTTTTAAAAATTTAATAGTGAGTGGCAAAATTTGGAACATGCAGTTGAGTTTAGATGGCCGATTGACCTTAACTGGGTAGACGATAAAATGTAGCATTCAACTCATCCTTCTGTGCCCCTACGACGTAAATGACGATCCTACCAACAACGCCTAATTCGTGTAGCGTTCCAATCGTTCCTGTTCCAATTTTCCAAAAGGACATCACTACCTCTAGCACCCCTATCTCATTCAAATTTACTGAAGATACTGCTAAACTAAGTTTTGATCACCACAAAGGCAATAAAACAAACATTAATCTGGCGTTATTGATTGAAAATATGAAGGCCAGAATTGGTTACTAATAAAATCATTACTTAAAGTGGAAATAATAAATAATTTAATTCTGAAACCAATTAAAATTACCACTAACACACACTAACAAAACAACTAAAATTATGTGTCGATCCTGATTACGACTTTACGAACAGGTTATACTGATCATGGTGAATGCTAATGCATTTTACGAATTGGAACTGTTCTGTTTGAGATTTATACCATCCAAATTGTCTTAGTCCTTTGCAGCAATTCCAAAAAAATATCCCAAAATCATAATTCACAGCTTTCAATTGCCTTTGAAATATTACTGCAGGTTTTTACATGGATCTCTGGCCTCTAAAATTCTTTAGCAGAATTGTTTTTTAGTGCTCAACTTTGCTTGTTTGCAATATCGTCACCTAACTACGACTTTGGCACCTCTAGTGAAAGCAGCTGAAGCATCTGGGATCGGTAATTAACCACCCGTCTTCTGAAGCTTCTTGCCGTTGCCATCTAAAAACGGAACCTTGCACAATCTGATTCGAACTAGAACTGTAACTTACGCAAAACGAGCAGCTTTTTATGCGAAATGCGTTTTGTGGAAACGAAGTTTCGTTAGACCACAGATAGCGACGATAGTTGGGTACGTCGCTTGTTTGCGCCTGGCGA